AGGACTCCCACAACCTTTATCTATTTAGCAACGTTATTTGATACAATGCCATGTTTAATATTGGTGTGAATTCACAAAATCATGCTCTTTACAAGATAAAAATTCTATGTAGACACACTTAAGTAATATTTGGTCTCTTGGTAATGTGTTAGAAGTTTCCTTTTTTACTTGTGTTTTTTTATGTAGTGCAAGTATGTGATTCAAAGATTTTCAGCACCAATCTAAAAATATTCTTTGAAGATTTATCTTTTATTTGCCTAACTTACCTTTTTCTGTAGACAAATTTAATTTTTCAAGCAACTGGTGTGTAATTTAAAATAAAATCTTTACAGTATAGCCTTCAATAATCTGTAGCAGTAAAACTTTATGATCCTCAAAATACTATCTGCTTGTCAGCTACCTGTCCTCTGACATGGAGTTTCTGCCTCATCGGTATTTTTCTGCTTTTTAGATAACCGTCACTTTCCAGTTTGTACCTAAAGTAAGAGCTTTAGGAAGTTGCCTTCTCCATTAAGTGCCATACATGTATGCTAAGTGGCATTATGTGTCCTCTTCTCTGGTGTTAGTTACTTAGTATGGATGGAGGACGGAAATGTTACTGAACAATGGATCTGTTGTGGGAGGAGCGCCAGACACTGTTATCGGAACAACGCCCCGCCCCCCCTTCTGGTCTAGGTTCATTTGCCGTCGCCCCTTGAAATTATCTCTTAATGGCAGAGCCTGGTGAAAAAGGAAGTATTTATTCAAAAGTTATACAAGTTTTGATTAATGGCTAAATGTTGCCCTTAAATTTCAAAATCCCTTTGAAAACACCCACTAACACACACACAGTCCTACCTTCCCCCCTTTGCCTAGCCAGGCCAGTCAGGGGTACTGTCCTTCAGAAAAAGAAGTAGTCCGGAGCTCGGCTAGGCAGGCCTCTCTTTGTTCCCAGCAGCAGTCTGCTGCGTTGCCGCGATCTCCAGTTCTCAATTCAGAACCATGTGTGAACCTTCTCATGGCCCACTAGCAAGAGTCCTTTCTCCCCTTCCCGCATGGTCTTACTGTTCCCTTGCGGCGTGGAGCAAACTGTCTCCGAACTCTCCTGTACACACGGGATGGCGGGGGGCGGCGGGAGGACCCCGACAAGCCTGCATAGCTGCTACATCTCGCTTCCCTGCTTCCTCAGCCGAACGGTCAAGAGTCTCTAATATGGCCACTGTGCCTAGGTCCCAGCCCAGGCGGGAATCCTCCCCAGTAACCCCATTCCGACTCCCCCAGCAGGCCCTGCCATCAGGGGAGCTGCCTGCCCAGGTACATCCTGGGTTAAACTGCCAACTTTTCTGGTTAGCCTTGTCGATATTCAAAATAACCATCTTTGCGTATGAGGAATGAAGCTATCCAGTTGTTTATTGACTTGCAAAGTAATTCTCAATGGCCCTGCTTCTTATCTGATATGAAGCTGGCCTGTTATTGATATGCAAAGTAACTAAGTGACCGAGCTCCAGGTCTCCCATCCCTCCTGGCTGCCTGCCCTGGGGGGTGGGGTGGGGATGAGAATATCCTGTATTTTTCTTGGACACCCCAATTTCTGGACCCCATTACAAATCCCCTTGGGGAGGCCTAGCTGTACCCTGTTACAGAAGGGGGCCTGGCCTGCCATGCCCTGCCATGCAGAAGCAGACCATTCTCTCACTGGGACAGCCCTTAGGATTAGGTTTTGCTGTGGGTTCCATCCTGTGGCTTGATGTGACTTTCCTGAATGGAATGCATTTTTCCCCCAGCTCCATTTCTTCCGTATTCTTCCCACGTCGGCTGGAAGAAGCCAGTTGATTCTGAATGCTGCCGACAAATTATTAGCTTTTTTGCTTCTTGGCCCCCCATCCAGCCTCTTGAGTAAGAAGCTGCTGTATTTGGATCCTGGATTATGTTGCTTAGTGATGCAAATTTAACTTTGCCAAGGAATGCCTAAAATTTAAGGCTCTATTCCAGAAAAGTCAATGAATAATAGAACTTGTAATTAATGTAAATTTTGTGTTTACCTCATGCCAGGCATTATACTAAACAGACTGCATGCATTAGCTTAGTTAATCCCCAGCAACTTTAATGCAGGTTCTACTGTTGCCCTCATTGTATAAATAAGAAAAATTAAATAACTTGCTCAAGATGATATGTTAAGGGACAGTTCCAGAGTCCTTACTTTTGACGCTATATTCAGCTGCTAGGCAGAGCTTCACCTCTCTGTCTTGTTGAATTTTGATTCTTACTAAAGAGTAGACAGGAATCTGATGTTTTAATTTTTTAAAACCTCTCTGTGTCCATCTTCTAAAACAGATTATATACTTAATGCAATTTTCCCTAAAGAGATAAGATTACATTTCAGGGTGTATTACCATAGTCCCTTTATGTGAAGTCAGATGTACTTGTTATGAAACCAAACTACATCCATAGTATACCACTATCTTCTTAAATTAAAAATAGTTGTAAGTGCATAGTGTGTGTTATAAGCTCTTAATGGCCAACTTTGTTCTCAGATAATTAGGTTTGGTTTTCTGTTTACCTTATGAAAATCCCATGGCCTCAGAATGCAAATGAAATTAAGAATGAATCCAGTGAGAACCAGGAGGCCCAACTGTGTAACTCTCCTAGTTGCCGTGTGACCCAGTATTTTGTTGGGGGTGAAGAAGTGCGAAAATATTGTCAGATGCATTGAAGACTCTCATTCCACACCTCCTCCCCCATCCTGTTATTTTCTCCCTGTTATCCATTTGTAGGCATGGCAGAATAAGGGATTTCAGGCCCAGTCTTTGGACAGTTAATGATTAACAAATCCTAGTGTGCTTTCCAACCCTGTGTGCATAGTGACACACACAGAACATGGTAATATTTCTCTGAGGTAAACAAATGAGGTTCTTTGAGACTGGAGGTGTTCATACCTGTAACTCATTTTCCATCATGTCTGTGAGTTTCTAAGCTTATTATGTATATGGAAGTACTCTGTAAACTATACTGTGCTATTCATGTGTAAGATTTTATTAATAATTACTATTAAGACCCAGGTATTTATTCTATAAAAGGACATTATGTACCGTGATTTTTTGGTTTGTTTTAGGAACTGTTTTTAGAGAACTAAATGCAGATGCCAGGCCAATTGCGGGATTTAAGGTCTTGTATGTGATTTGGCACAGTAATGAGGACAAATAGAAATGCTAGTGATAAGGAGTCATATGCTTCAAGGCTTCTTATAAGAGATTAAACAGCTGGTGAGATTTGTTAATGATTCTGCTGTTTATCCTTATAAAATTTTTCTACCCTCCTTTCTGCCTATCTCAAGTTAGGCCTTCGTTGTGAAGTCTTTCCCTGTGTCTACGTCTTTTCTCCCAGGTGAAGGCCATACTCTATCTGTTCTATCATTATACCGTGTACAAAGCTTTAGTGATTGTACTTGTAACACTGCACTGTTGTGTGTTTCACATATTTCTTTCCTTACTAAATTGTGAATTCCTTGAAGTTAAGACTGTGTCTGATTAATCTTTGAGGCTTAAACTACATCCAGATCATTTTATTACATTCCATCGTTAGGAAGGGTTTAAATGCTCTTTGAGTCAAGCTGAAATTTGTCTCCCTTTAGTCCGCATTCTAACCTCTGAAACACTCCAAACTAAGTTACTTTTATGCTGGTCATCAAACATTTTAATGATCTGTCAAGTGTAGTTCCACACAGTCTTTATTTTTCTGGGCTAACCATTTTTAGTGTTGATAGTTTGTTTTCCTGCTGTTTCTTTTTTTCTTAAGTAAGTATGTTTTCTTTACCTCTTGCAGTGTTTAGAATCATAGAATTTTAAGAATTGAAAGGGACTAGAATTTGCCTAGGTCCTTTGATGCTTACAAACTGATTGAGTAATTGAAACTGACACACAGATATTTTGGGGCACCACAGTATTTTGAGAATTTCACTAAGAGAAAGTTTAGATATAGTAGATTTTTAAAAAGTTTATCTTTTGCCCTGGCTGATGTGGTTCAGTGGATTGAACGCCAGCCTGAGAACCAGAGGGTCGCTGGTTCAGTCCCAGTCAGGACACATGATTTGGTTGCAGGTCACGTCCTCACTTGTGGGCGTATGAGAGGCAACCACACATTGATGTTTCTCTTCTTCTCTTTCTTGCTCCTTTCCCCTCTCTCTAAAACTAAATAAAAATTTTTTTTATTTTTCATTGTTTTACAATTTTTGTGCTGCTGGGTATGTTAAAAATAATGAGCAAAATAAAAAAGATGTTTTATGCTAATACAGTGTATGTCTAGTACAGAAAGATCTTCATATTTCTATAGTGTTACCACTAAGAATTTGACTCTAAAGATAAGCTACCTGGGCTTCAATCCTGGATCTACCACATATAAATGTAAATTACTTAATCTCTGTATGTCTCAGTTTCCAAATTTGTAGAAAAAGGTTAACATATGGGGTGTCGTGGGTTTTAAATGAGTTAGTACTTGAAAAGCACTAAGAATTATGCCTAGTACACAAATGTTCAATATATGGTTACTGCTTGCTGCCACCACCACCACCATCACCACTATTATTGAGCTATACAAGCACCTAGTGAGATGTGGGACACACCTTTGGGATTTCTGGTTGAACATTAAATCATCAGCAGCTATAAGTTTATTGTTCTAATAAAAGGCCCTGCATATCATACTTTGCATCAAAGCATGATTTGCCCAGACTATAACCACATCTGTGGAGTAATGAAGTACTTTGTCATGGAGTTTTACTATAGAAACAATTTAAGAAATGGCAGAAGACTCATTAGCGTTTGAGTCTGTTCCTCTGTGACAGACTTGCTAAAAATCCATTTCCTGTCTTTTTAAGAAGAGTAAATTCATTTCTTCATTGACATTCTGTAAACAGAATACTGGCAGCTTGTGTTTTGTAGAATATAATGTTTTAAAATAGATTTAATTTTCCTTAGTAAACTGCTTTTAATAATGCATTGAAGTAAATTTTCTTCCTTTGTTATAAGGTTGCTATCAAGATCATAGACAAGACGCAGCTAGACGAAGAAAACTTGAAGAAGATTTTCCGGGAAGTTCAAATTATGAAGATGCTTTGCCACCCCCATATCATCAGGCTTTACCAGGTAGGAGTCTAGTGGCTTATTACATGACAGCAAAAACCCCCGAAACTAACAAAAACACAAAAACAGCCTTAAAAAAAAAAGGTTGGTTGGGTGAACATCTGTGACTTTGTTCCTGTGCTCACATGTTCATCCTACTATTTTCCCTACCCTTTTATCCCCCTGCTCGGTACTCATGCCATTCTTAGTGAAAATTACACAAAAGGGTTATTCAGAAGATGATGAGAACTTAAGTCAGAATCCTAAAACAATGGGAAACTCAAAAGGAACAGACAGTTTTGAAAGATGAAAAGCTAGAGATGAATATAACATTGTTTTTATAACATTATCTAAATACCAATTTCTGTGTTAATGTTATGAATTATGATGGCAAAGGGTATTTTAAGTATAGCTTCCTGTATCAGACAGAACCTACCTCCTGTATAGTCTCGTAGGGTCCAGACTTAGTTTTTAGTTTTCCAAGGTAGCATTTGCTTATTTTGATAACCAAGAGATTGAGTGTGTATAATGGAAGGGCCTTCTAGTTTAGTTTTCTTACCTTCCCAAGAAACATGCATATTCCATGCTATCATCAAAAATCATTCCCTACCTAGCTGTACTGCAGAAGCAGTAAATCTAATTGCTGGAATTTCAAGCCAGGTAGGAGGGGGGAATCTTGCCTTAGCAGACTGGTGGAAGTGATATTTTGAAAAAGGTGGTGCTTTGGCGTGCTTGTGAAATTGCATTGTGTTGGCTGCCACAAGCTCTACCTGTGCCTTCTACTAGAACAGCCATCCCCTAGTTCTGCAGGAAGTGGCCTCCCACTCTGTTCATTTGCTGCTGTTAGCCTGCAGTAGATTACCGGCCCAGAAGAAATCATGTCATGATATTACTATGTGTGGTTAAGACTATAGCTTTACGGTTTTACTCTGGCATCGGCTACTCACATAACGAAACTGAACTAGATCAGCAGAGCTGACTTGTTAAAATTTATCAGATTAAATTATGTTGAACCTACACCTACGTTGTGCCTCAGAAGTAAACCTGTGAAAGCTTTCTGGTGTTGCCTGAAGGCCTGTATCTGCACACTCAGAGGTGTCTGATCTCTGTTTGCTTCCTATCCTGATAGACTGAGTGAACTTCTTGACCATACTTTTTAAAATGTCATCTTTAAGTAATCATAGGGGTTCTTAGTCTGACCTTTCTCAAGAAGTTAACTTATACATATTAACCTTATAATGGAATTCTGCAAGATTACCTTTCTTACCCAAGACTTCATTTGCCCAAAAGAATTCCTCTTCTTTCAGCCTTGGCTTCTGAACAGTGCTCTCTTTTAAGCTTTAATTTTGCTCTCTGGCAGCTAGTATTGTTAATGGGAGAGTCTGGGCAGCCAGGGTGAATGTCCAATTGTCTTCATAAAGTATCAAGGTAGTTTCTGGGTCATTTGCCAAAGCTTCATTCTCCTCAAGTTTATAGAGGGAGCCCAAATACAGGTGAGCTCTTGAAAAGTGTAACAATAAAAGAAGAGTAGCAGTCTGGGGGTAAAAGGAGTGCATACACAATGTAACATTTTTTTCTTTCCTTTTTTTCTAAAGACCTGCATATAGTTAGAGCCCTTCCTTTTTGTTCCATAAATCATCATAGAGAGAGTGCTTACAAACAATACCTATAACAAGCAGTGGGATATCATCAGTATATATAGGGTTTTTAAAAATTAAAAAACAATGACAGTTATTAGAATAGAAAATTAAGTTGATGTGCATTTATACAGTGCAGTACCATGAAACCATTGAAAAAGGAGAGATAAATCTTTTATAATATAATGCCTAATACTGTTATATGGTACTAATGTATAAAGATGTCAAAGATAAAGTAACTGGGAAACAATTTAACCAAATCATTAACTGTGAAGCATAGTGAAAGTCTAGAATGCCTCAATATGATAGCCACTTGCCACACATGGCTGTTGGTATCAAAATGTGGCTAGAACAAATGACAAAATGCATTTTGGGGGGAGGTAGAGATTTTATTTATTTATTTTTAGAGAGAAGGGAAGGGAGAGAGTGAAACACCGACGTGCGAGAAATACAGTGCTCAGTTGCCTCTCACAAAACCTTACCTGGGGACCTGGCCTGCAATTCAGGCATGTGCCCTGACTAGGAATTGAACTGGAAACCTTTTGGTTCTCAGACCAGCACTCAGTCCACTGAGCCACAATGGTCAGGGTGGAAGTGAATTTTTAATTTTATTTAAATTAATTTGAATTTAAAATCTGAAGCAGTTTATAGTTTAAAAAACTTTTTGAAATGATGTTGAACATATTGGAGTAGATAAAATATGTTATGAGAATTAATTTTACCTTTTTAAAAAGCTGTTCAATGTAGTCACTAGGGAAGTTAAGTCATATAAGTCTCGTATTGTGTTTCTGTTGGACAGCACTTCTCTAGGATGATATAGAATAACTTAAGAGTGTTTCCTCTAGGGAATAAAATGGAGGGGGTTGGGAAGAGGAAAACTTTTGGTCTTTGCTTATATAATAGGTATTTAAAATGTTTATAATGGGTGAAAATACTCATATATTACTTTAAAAATACTTAATGAAAAGGTAAAAAGGAAGAAAGAACTGATAACACTACAACTAATTTAAAAGTTACCAAATATTAGCAAAATACATATAATAATTATATTTATATATTACATGTTAATGTAATTATAATAAATGTGTAAATATATAAAACCTATATATAAATATATATGAGGAAAATAGAGACCAAGAAAAATACAAATGTGTAGTTTATGTTACTGGAAGTGTTGAATATTTACATTATTATTCTTAGTTTTGTTAAATGGTTAGTGGAAAGTTACCATTTCTCTTTTTTAAAAAAACACAGCCATATGTGATTTCTGTGCAATTTTTGAGTGATTTTCATTTTTTCTCTAAGGCTTTTTTGTTTTCGCTTTGTTAGGTTTTGGAGAGAACATTTTGAGCTTCAAGTGACCAATGTTAAATTTGAACTTTTGGGTTCTTGTTAGCTTCTCTGCTTCTCAGTTTTGTTTAAGAGATTACAGAAGCCTCATGGAATAACAAAAGGACTGTCTCTCATGTAGCACGTATTTCCTACTTTTAAGAACTTAGAGAAATACCTGTTTTCCTCCTTTCTTAATAACATTTATATCTGTTCACTCCCACTAATGTTTTAAGTTTCCTTTAAGCAGTAATGATTATTAAGATTTCAAATGACAAAAGGAGGAGTCATTAGTTTCTCTTCCTAGAATGTCAGTCTCTCATTTGTGTCACTATCTATAACTTTCCTGCTTTTGTACCAGGTTATGGAGACAGAACGGATGATTTATTTGGTGACAGAATATGCTAGTGGAGGGGAAATATTTGGTAAGTACATTTATTGCATTCTCTAAGCAGCTATTGAGCAAACTGTGGCAAACCTAAAACAGCTGTTTGATGACTTCGTCACTTGAGCAGCTGTCACTGGATGCTGTCCTTGAGTGCCATCATTTTCTATCAACAGAATAATTCTGATTATTTTTGATTCACCTATTTAAGTCTCTTCACCATCGCCATCTCTTTAGCAAATGTGGTTTGTTAATTTCAGTCAGATATTGACAGTTGAGATTAAAAGTCTCCAGGAACAAACATTCCTTCTGAACATGTGACTTGAGGGTCTTTCCTATTGCCATATTCTAACTGGGGTAACCAAGTGTGCCAGAACTCCCACAGTGTTGGGGGGGCCTCACTTGTGTGAGAAAGAGCCAGTTGCAGCAAGCAATATCACCCTAATTCAGTTTTTAAGCTTTGTTTAAATATAACACATAACTATATTTCTTACCATATATGTGTTCAACAGTTCCCTTGATGATTCTTGTAATTTTGGAGGTTCTGTCTTCAGTAGCTTTTTTTTATTTTCTCTGACACACTTAGCACAGGATCGGGATCAGAATTAAGCAAGAGAATATGTCACTAGGAAATCTGACTTTTCAAGGTGGTAAAAACTATCAAAAGAAAATATTTTTTTATAGCAGTGATAAATGGAGCTAAGTAGAGGTGAAGTCTAAAGTTTGAAATCTAGATTGACATCTTTTTATTTTTAATTTTTTCCTTTTGGCAAATAACTACAAGAAAGGTTCTTATGTAATTTTGGTTTCTTTACTTTATTATTTCCTGGTTTAAATATGGATGGTAAGATATTGGTGCTTACTAATTTAAAATATATTTAAAAACATGAAATCACTTTTAAAGTGGAATCTTCTTATAAATGATGGATCAGTTGTGACTGTGGAATTTCTGGTGTTAAACTTTCCCCAGACATCTTATGATTTTTGTGTCCAAGAATGTTCAGGATAAATGTGAGCCCTTTTTAAAGGAGGTGTCATAATTTCTTACTAATATTTTTAATTGACTTTCTATATGTGTTTTTGCACAATGTTAATCATGGGAGAAAAGAGACCATGGCATCTTAATGTTTATAATAATAATAATAATAATAATAATAAAAACTTAACTCAGTACACATCAAATCTACCTTGCTCTTCAGGAAAGCAGATTATGATTATTATGATTATTTTTATTTTTTTAATTTTTATTTTTAAGATTTTTAAAAAATAATTTTAGGGAAAGAGGGAGAGAAACATCAATGTGTGGTTACATTTTATGTGCCCCTGCTGGAGACCTGGCCTACAACCCAGGCATGTGCCATATACTGGGAACTGAATTGGTGACATTTTGGTTTGCAGGCTGGTGCTCAATCCACTGAGCCACACCAGCCCAGGGCACTTTTTTTATTGTTGTTCAGTTACAGTTGTCCCAATTTTCCCCCCATTTCTCTCCCCTGCCCTGCCCACCCCCCACTCCCATAATCAGTCCCCAACCCCATAGCCCATGTCCGTGGGTCCTTTATATGTGTTCCTTGACTTGGCCCTTCCGCACCCCTCCCCCCCCACGTTATAGCCCTCCCTGCTCCCCTCTGGTCATTGTCAGTTTGTTTTTCATTTCCAAGCCTCTGGTTCTCTTGCTTACTTGTTTATTTTGTTGATTAAGTTCCACTTATAGGTGAGATCATATTGTATTTGTCTTTCATTAACTGGCTTATTTCACTTAGCATAATACTCTCCATTTCTGTCTGTACTGTCCCCAAAATCAGGAGTTCCTTTCTTTCTGCTGCACAGTATTCCATTGTGTAAATGTTCCAGTTTTTTGTTCCACTCATTTACTAATGATCATATAGGCTGCTTCCAGCACTTGCCTATTGTAAATAATGCTGCTGTGAACATTGGGGTGCACAGGTTCTTTTGAATTGGTGTTTCAGGATTCTTAGGGTATAAACTCAGCACTGGAACTTCCGATTCAAAAGACAGTTTCATTTTTAGTCTTTTGGGGAAATTCCAGACTGTTTTCCACAGTGGCTGCACCAGTCTGCATTCCCACCAGCAGTGCACAAGGATTCCCTTTCCTCAACATTGCCAACATTTGTTTTATGATTTGTTTACGATGGCCATTCTGATTCGTGAGATGAGGTATCTCTTCGTTTCAGTTTGCATCTCTCTGATGGCTAGTGATGCTAAATGTCCTGTCATATGTCTCTGGGCCCTGTGTACGTCTTCCGTAGAAAAGTGTCTATTCAGGTCCTCTGCCCGTTTTTTTTATTGGATTGTTTCAGTTCTTGGTGTGGAGTCCTGTGAGTTCTTTACCTATTTTGGAAATCAAACCCTTGTCTGACGTGTCAGTGGCAAATACGTTTCCCCATACAGTTGGTTCCCTTTCCATTTTATTGATGATTTCTTTAGCCGTGCAGAAGCTTTCTAATTTGATACAGTCCCATTTGTTTATTCTTTCCTTTACATTCCTTGCCCTAGGACACGTATTGGTGAAAATATTGCTGCATGGGATATCTCAAATTTTTCTGCCTGTTTTCCTCTAGGACTTTTATGGTGTCATGACTTATATTTATCCATCTTGAGTTTATTTTTGCGTATGGTGTAAGTTGGTGGTCAAATTTTGTTTTTTTGCATGTAGCTGTCCAGATGTCCCAACACCACTTGTTGAAGAGGCTATTTTTACTCCATTTCATGCTTCTGCCCCCTTTGTTGAATATTAATTGAGCATAGAGATATGGGTTTATTTCTGGGCTGTCAGTTCTGTTCCATTGATCTATATGTCTGTTCTTAGGCCAGAACCAGACTGTTTTGATTACAGTGGCTTTGTAATATAATTTGATGTCAGGTATTGTGATCTCTACTACTTTGTTCTTCTTTCTCAGAATTGCTGTGGTTATTCAATTTGTTTATGGTTCCATATAATTTCTTGAAATGTTTATTCTACATCTTTGAAATATGTCATCGATATTTTAATAGGGATAGTGTTGATTCTATAAATTGCTTTGAGTAATATGAGCATTCTGATGATATTAATTCTTTCAATCCATAAACATGGTATATGCTTCCATTTATTTCTGCCTTCCTTAGTTTCTTTCTTCAGTGTTGTGTAGTTTTCTGAGTACAGGTCATTTACCTCCTTGGTAAGGTTTATTTACAGGTACATTTATTTCTTGTTGCTATAGCAAATGAGATTTATTTCCTGATTTGTTCGATATTCCATTGTTGGTGTGCAAAAATACCTTCGATCTCTAAATATTGACTTTGTATCCTGCTGTTTTGCCAAATTCACTTATTACATCAGGTAATTTTTCAGTGGAGTCAATAGGGTGTTCTGTGTACACTATCAAGTCATCTGCAGACAATGACAGTTTTCCAGTACTATGTTGAATAGAGGTGGTGAAAGCGGACACCCTTGTCTTGTTCCTGATCTTAGTGGGAAAGCTTTTAGTTTTTGCCCATTGAGTATGATGTTGGTTGTAGGTTTCTTGTATATGGCCTTTATTCTGTTGAGGTATGCTCCCTCTACTCCCACTTTGCTGAATGTTTTGTTTTGTTTTGTTTTTTATCATAAATGGGTGCTGTATTCAGCGTCTATTGATGTGACCCTATGATTTGTGTCTTTTCATTTTTGTTTATGTGATGGATTACGTTTATTGATTTGCGAATATTGGACCATCCTTGCGTCCCTGGGATGAATCCCACTTGATCATGGTGGATGATCTTTTTAATGTATTGCTGGATGCAGTTTGCCAATATTTTGTTGAGGATTTTAGCGTCTGTGTTCATCAGCGATATTGGCCTGTAGTTTTCTTTCTTTGTTGTGTCTTTATCTGGTTTTAGGGTTAGGATGATGCTGGCCTCATAAAAAGAGTTTGGGAGTCTTCCCTCTTCTTGGATTTTTTGGAATAGTTTGAGAAGGATAGGGACTTAACTCTTCCTTAAATGTTTTGTAAAATTCTCCTGTGAAACAGTCCAGTCCAGGGCTTTTGTGTGCTGGGAGCTTTTTGATTACTGCTTCAATCTCGCCAGATCTGATTGGTCTATTCAGGCTTACCGCTTCTTCTTGACTCAGTTTTGGAGGATTATACATCTCTAGAAATTTGTCCATTTCACCCAGGTTTTCAAACTTCTTGGCATATAGTTGTTTGTAGAAATTTCTTACGATCCTTTGTAGTTCTATGGTATCGGTTGTAATTTCTCCTCTTTCATTTCTCATTTTATTTATTTGGGTCCCCTCTCTTTCTGAGTGAGTCTGAAGGTTAAAGGCTTGTCAATTGTGTTTATCTTTTAAACAGAACCAGCTCCTGGGTTTATCGATGCTCTGAAGTATTCTTTTAGTCTCTGTGTTATGTAATTATGCTCTGATCTTGATTATTTCCTTCCTTGTACTTGCTCGAGGCTTTGTTGTTATCCCTCCAGTTCTAGTAGATGCAGGGTTAGGTTGTTTATTTGAAATTTTTCTATCTTTTTCGATAGGCCTCTATTGCAAGGATCTTTCCTCTCAGGAATGCCTGCACTGTGTCCCATAGGTTTTAGGCTATTGTGTGTTCATTTTAATTGGTTCCCAGAAATTTTTTGATTTCTTCCTTGATCTCATTATTGACCCATTCATTGTCTAATAACATGCTATTCAGTCTCCATGAGTTTGAGTGTTTTTGAGTTTCTTCCTTGAGGTTGGTTTCTAGTTTCAAGTCATTGTGATCCGAGAAAATGCTTGATAAGATTTCAGTTTTCGTAAATTTGTTGAAGCTTGTTTTGTGTCCTGTTATGTGCTCTTATCTTTGAAAATGCTCCATGTGTATTTGAAAAGAATATATATTTTGCTTCTTTGGGAGGAAAGGTTCTATATATGCCAGTTAAGTGCATTTGACCTGGAGTATGGTCAGTGCCAGAATATCCTTGTTGATTCTTTTCTTTTGGAAGATCTTTCCATTGTTGACTGTGGGGTATTAAAATCCCCTACTATTGTGAGTTGCTGTCTGTATCTTTCTTCAAGTCCTT